GCATCACCATAAGCATCCTCATCATCTTCATCTGCATCAGCATCATCAACATCACCATCAACATCATCACCATCAGCAGCATCGTCATCATCACCGTCATGACCATCATCCGCGTTTTCCTCTTGTTTCCTCCTTCGTCCTCCCCTTCCCCCTCGCCTTTTACAACGGCTATCCCTGCACTGCTACATCCCATGAACGAGGCAGCTGCGCATATGATTAATCATAAAATTGATCTATTGGGTTCCGCGGACGGGTGGCCGAGCACAGCACCGCACATGAGCCGTAGCTCCACGGACGGGCGCCCGAACCGCAGCGCCGCGCACTTGCCCAACTCCTCCCAACTCTCATCAACAAATAGGGAAACAAAAACTGGCATAAACATAAAAACTCGGAAGTCCGCGCGGATTTCTCGGATCGGCGCTGGACCCCCCTCCCTGGCGCGCGAAGCGCGCCAGGGGCGCCGCCGGAGGCGCCGCCGGGGGGCCCCAGCGCCGGTCCGAGAAATCCGCGCGGACCTCCGATTCCTATACGGTTTATGTCGCTTTTTGCTCCCCTAATAGAAGCGCGCAGGCATGCGTTGTGAGAGCGCAATCAGACTACTGACAGAGGACAAGCCAGGAACACCACTGCCGCGTTTTTATGTTTATGTCACTTTTTGCTCCCCTAATAGAAGCGCGCAGGCACACGTTGTGAGAGCGCAATCAGACTACCGGCAGAGGACGAGCCAGGAAAGCCAACGCCGTGGACATATATCTCACGCCGTCCGCCGGCGGAGGGAGGAACCTGGCAGGCCCATCGCCTGGCAAACGCCCTCTGGGACAAAAGAGCTCGGCCGATCGCGCTTCCGAGTGAAAGGTCTGCTCGGCTGCCTGCCGCTACAGTCGAGGCGTCGACCTAAGGAACCCTAAATAAGGAACGAGGCCCCTTTTTTCCATAGGTTAAACTTCGATTTCCCATCGAAAACCTGAGGACAACCTAAGGCAAGCTGCGAAACAATTAAGGAGCACGGAGCCCCTCCCCAACGAAAAGAACTCCTTGTTTAGCGCCCCGACTGTATCAAAGGTGTGCTGAGACGAAATACCGCGACTGCAGTCCAGACGAGCTCGCCTGCGGAGAGACGGCTGTCTCCACGGGCTGCTCCTAACGGTGCACTCGGGAGACCCATCGCGGATGTAATCGAGACGGCCCTCATGTGAGAAAACGGTTGCCTCGACTGACCGTCTGATCGCACAGAATACTGCAGTTCAATATCACGGATATACCTGAGTTTCAAGACAGTGTGATGTACGATGGGTACGGCTCCGACTGGCACGGAGGAATATACCACCACGCCGCACGAACATCGAAGGCCCTCAAATGACGAACGCACGTCGATCGGGACCCACCGCCCCGCCCCAGGAATGAACTCGGCTACCCCCGCAAGAAGCACATGGCCTCGAGGAAAGGCGTGCCGCTGAGGAGAGCGGCGGAACTCCGCTGCTTCCGCTCTGGGCTCGTGGTCTGCCTGCCAGCCTTGGACACAAGGAAACACTGATACAGCCGATTGCTACACGCAGCCACCGCTGAGGGCGCGTGGCGGGCAATCGCCCTGGCCCTCCAGCAGCTTGCACAACATGGGAATGAAAGAATGCCCCTCGCTGCGATCAGGACCGCCACCTCCAAGGCGGGGGCCTTTCTTCGCCTGGCGCCACTCTGAGAGCGGCGCATCTGCACTGGGGCACTGCTTGGCGTGCAAGGCCAAGTTCCGGATGAGCTTCTGCGTCCCCTCCACCATGAGGCCGGACACCTCCGCCGCCAGCACGGGCCTCGCGAGGGCCTCTCGCCGAGAGACCTCTGAGCTGGCACTGAAGGCGTTGACGAGGGCAGCCTGCAGCTCCAGTGCACGTTGGAGTTCGCCTCGAACCCCGATGAATTCTGCAGTGAGCTTCTGAATCAAATTGTCGGCAGAAGCGCGCGCCCCTGCCTTGCCTTTCAGCGCCAAATACTCGCCAAGCGCCGCCGAAGCTCCCGCAGCCACCATGCTCGCGCCACCCGACCGCCGCGCCTGGGGGGTTCGAGCCAGTTTGAGCCCAAATGGCTACGGATATCTCCCCCTCGCCCTCCTCCCCCTCCTCCTCCTCCTCCTTCTCCTCCTCCTCCTCCTCCTCCTCCTCCTTCTCCTCCTCCTCCGATTCCTCCTCCATCCTCCCCCTCTTGGGGTACGACGTCTAACCCAGCCCTTACTTCCACTGCATGCTCCTCCACATCTTTGACGAGGGCAACTCGTCTGGGCATCGTTTCTGCATGGGTTGGCGGCGGGCTCGCGAAGCAGGTGGAAAGCCGTCCGAACACTAGCCGGGCCGCGACTAGGCAGCAAGAAAAGAGAGACAAGCCAAGTGAGCGCGCGGGCAGCCACTCAGAAGAAGAAGAGCCAGAAACAACACTCCCAACTCGGTGGCGTGGAGACCCCGGTGGCGACCATCAAGTAGGCGCAGCCTAAATGGCGCGGCGGCGCGAGTTGGTGTGGTTACGCGAGGCGTCTAGAATTCGCTGCACCTCCTAGCGTCGACGGAGGAGGAGAAGGAGCAGTTGCGTCGGCGGTGGACGAACCTCCCTTTAGTAAACCTCCCATTACAGAAAAAGGCCTAGGACCGAAACCGACGGACCTGGACCCGCAAAAATGACGGCCGCGAGGCCCTCTCGCGAACCGAAAACGGCCAATTCCTTAATCGACGTGTCAGGGTAGGAGGTCTGTCCACCCCCGATTGCGTAAAGGAGAGGCGATACACGGAGGGGTGAAGAAAGGTGCACATCTGGTGCCACCCCGGGGCCCTAAAGCGACCCCCCCTGGAGCGCAGAAGATGCACAAAAGGCGCACGTTTCTTCGCCCACCCCTACGCTGACCGCCCCCCCATTGAGCAACGTCCAACGGAATGGATAAGGTTGAGCTCCGGGTCGAGCTGCATCGCCGATGCAGTCAGGATGCATCGGCGACGTCGGGATGGATAAGTTCGAGCTCTGGGTCGAGCCGCATCGCCGATGCAGTCAAGATGCAACGGCGACGTCGGGATGCAGAAGTTCGAGCCCCGAGTCGAGCCGCCTCACCGACGCAGATGCGATGCATCGGCGACGTCGGGATGCAGATGATCGAGCCCCGAGTCGAGCTGCCTGACCGACGCAGTCGCAATGCATCGGCGACGTCGACATGCAGACGATCGAGCCCCGAGTCGAGCCGCCTCGCCGACGCAGTCGCGATGCATCGGCGACGTCGGGATGCAGACGATCGAGCCCCGAGTCGAGCCGCCTCGCCGGCGCAGTCGCGATGCATCGGCGACGTCGGGATGCAGACGACCGAGCTCCGAGTAGAGCTGCGTCGCCGATGCAGTGGCGGCGCGGCGCGATCCTCAGACCCCGTCTGCTCAGGCCCCATCCGACGATGCCGCCCTGTGGCGCGAGCGATCGGCCGGCCAGGCTGGGAGGGTCCCGCGGCCCTCGTGCGAGGAGCCTCGCGCCGTCTTCCCCTCGCGCTTGTGGCGAGGCGCCCTGCCGACGGTGCTTATACTCAGGATGGCTGGGGAGCAGCTCACATCCTGTCACAAGGGTAGCACTGCGAGGCGGGGGTTCAGACATATCCATCGCATGCGGAAGGCTCGGCGGATTGGAGCCGCTAGGATGAGCGTGAGATCGCAGTCACAAGGGATTGGGAGCTTGTCGGCGAGGGCCAGTGTGAATCACCACCCCTCTTTTCTGAAGGTGGGCTAGGCTCGCGGGGTCGCAAGAACGCCCTCAGAGCAAACATGCTGCGTTGAACGACTCGCATCCGAGCCCTTTCTGGACGTGGCACCGCGAAAAATCCGCCGACCCTGTCAGCGTGTGGAAGACGCATCCTGGTGTCGTCGTCTTACGTGGATCACCGTCGTCGTCGTCGTCGTCGTCGTCGTCGTCGTCGTCGTCGTCGTCGTCGTCGTCGTCGTCGTCGTCGTCGTCGTCGTCATTGTCGTCGCCCGAAATAAAAGAAAATCGAACACGAAACAGAAAGAAATCGTAGTCGTGGCGAAGCCCCTCCCTACCCCTCCCACAGGGGGGGGAGGTCCCGGGGGGGGTCGCCACCCATATACGCATCCTCCCCCCGGCCTACTTTTCTGATTGTTTTGCCCATCCCGAACATGTGGGGGAGTCTCCTCCTCCCCCTCTTTGCTTCCCCCTCCTCCCTCCTACCTCCCTCCTCCTCGGGAGGGGCCTTCCCTTTGATCCGTTCCTCGCCAGGGAGGGCGGGGGGCGCCACCCTAAACGAAAATGGAATCCCGGGACCTAGAAAAGCTTCACACGGGCCAAGAGTGCCCCAAGAAGCCGCCCAGACGGTCCCAGAGGGTGCCGAATCGCCGAACCATCGGTCCAAGACGCCCAAGTAGCCTCCAGACGGCCCAAGACGTTTTCAAGACGCCCACGAATAAAAGAAAATCGAACACGAAACAGAAAGAAATCGTAGTCGTGGCGAAGCCCCCCCCTACCCTCCCCGCAGGGGGGAGGCAGATACCCGCTCCTCCCTCTCCCCCTCCCCCTCCCCCTCCCCCTCCTCCTCCTCTCCTCCTCCTCCTCCTCCTCCTCCCCCTCCTCCTCCTCCTCCCGCCTCCACCTCCTCCTCCTCCTCCTCCTCCTCCTCCTCCTCCTCCTCCTCCTCCTCTCTCTCCCCTCTCCTCCCCCCTCCCCCTCCTCCCCTCCTCCTCCCTCCTTCTCCTCCTCCTCTTTCTCCTCCTCCTCCTTCTCCTCCTCCTCCCTCCTCCTCCTCCTCCTTCCTCCTCCTGCTCACTTCCTCCTCCTCCTCCTCCTCCTCCTCATCCTCCTCCTCCTCCTCCGCCTCCTCCTCATCCTCCTCCTCCACCTCCGACTCCTCCTCCGCCACGTCTTCATTTACCTCCGACGTCTTATCACGCATCCCGTCACCCTCGAAGGCCGAGGTATCCAGGGTCGGCGGCACTGGCCGTAAGGCCTTAGCAATAAACAATCGACAAAACGCCGATTCAACTCACGAACACTGTTCCAATCGCCTGCTTGGTCGCAAGGGGGCTAGTCGCGCCCCTGACCGTCCATGGACCACTAGACGTGGCCAAAAACGTGACGTTGAAGGTGCCGTCGCGCTCGTCGCGGATAGAAAGAGGCTGAAGGATCGCAGCTCCGCTGACGAGGTCGAAGAACCAGCTATCTCCGCCCCTCAACTTGTGGTGATCGCACGAAGTGTAGGAGATTACTGTGAAGCTCGCCGTCGAGCCCGCGGTGCCGATGGTGAGGCCGTCCTCCGCGAGCTTGCTGTGCTGGACACTGGTGGCTGCACCCTCGAAGTTGAGGTTCTGGACCTCAAACGTAGACCACCCCTCGGCCCACGGATTTGAGGCGGTGAAGCCGACGTGCGCCTGCCCGTCTGCATTCGCAAAGTCCATGTCGATTTGAAGCGTGATGAGAGCTACGTCCATGTCCTGGATGTACACCCACATGTGGCCAGAGATTGAAGAGTAAACGATTCTAGCTGACTGCCAGCTGCCACTGTCTACGCCGCCCGGCAGAGCTGCCGTCGCGAGCTCTTCGCCTCCAGCAGTCCTGCCGTTCTTATACACATACAGCGCGCTGTAGCTCGCATATGTGTGCAGCAGCACCCCGATGCTGTCGTCGATGCCCGAGTAACCACCGCCACCATCGTTACTGCTGGCAGCAACGTTGCTGGGCCCGCTCTGCAGGACAAACGCGAAGCCGTGCCCGCCAGTCGTAGGAATGCACCCCCACCACGTAGAGAAGCAACCGTTGCTCACTTTGAATTCGAAAGACGCGGCCCAGCTGTCCACAACTGCCACTTTCGAAACGGACCACGTGGCCCCTCCGTCACCAGTCGATGAGGCGAGCCTCACGGCCCCACCGACGGCCTGTGCGCTGTTGACCATCGTGAAGCTGAGCAAGCTCTCAGACCCAGTGGGGATTATCTGGTCGACGACCTCCTCGCAGACGGCCTCCACCCCACACGCGTCCACCCCGTACATCCCTAACTTGGGGATTTCCAGCTCGAGTCCCTCCAGCACGTAGGCGTCCTGGCCAGGATACTGCAAGTAAGCAGTGGCGACGGCATCCAGGCGCGCGCACAAGCGCCCGTGGCCCACCATCTCGTCGTATAAGCGTGCCATGGTCTCCCAGTCGTTGTCGATCCTGACGACTAGCTCTGGGAATACCCTCCTGTGCGCCGCGTCGACGAGGAAGTCGTCGTACGTCTGCACCACGTGCGCGAACTGGAAGGCGGGGGCGGGATCGTAAGACCACATCGGGATCAGCGAGCCAGGGCTCGCCCCATCCGCGTCGGCCAGGGACATCCTCACGTCGAAGCTGCGGATACCAAGGCCGAGGGCGAATATGTTGTTCACTGCCCAGTCCTTCAGATCGATCTCGACATCCGACCATAGCACGTTGAGGGCCGACTCCCAGACAGACTCGACGCTCACCGTACCCTGCTCGAGTATCGTGGAGAAGTTGTCCTTCACCTCGTTTATGTCTAGGAGCTCCTGCGTCAACCTCCGCCCAGTCTCACCCCATGCCTGGCGAGAAGACAACGACCCTCTTGAAGCGTTGAGGGGTTCATCAAGCCTCCGTGGCAACTCTGATAGCCTGCGACACGAGCTTCCGTCTAATACATCCACGAAGCTGTGTGAAATGCTCATAGGCATTACGATACTCTGCGTAAGCCCCAGAGACGTGGTATACGACAAATTTGCTGTGGCGTTGACACTGGCAATTGCGCTACCAATCACAAAGACGTCCATGACCTCTTGTACAACGTGCTTCCCGGCAAGCCCATGCAGTGTTCCGTAGACCACTGCGCCATCCGACGAATTGCCGCAGCTGTCCACCCACGAGGCAAGGGCCTGGCCGTGTCGACCCGTGAGCTGCAGCTCCACGCCCTGCCAGGCGCACGCGAGCTGCGTCGGGAGACCCGAGGGGAGCCGCACAGACACAGTCGCGTGCGAACTGCTCGTATCCATCAATCTCCAAGTGTTTTCATACGCGGTGGGGTAGTACCACGTGCTCGATGAGCCATTGTGAGGCGGCGCGACCGGGTCGCCGAGGTCGGGAGTGGTAAAGCTTCCGTCGTCTGCTCGACCGTCCTCTTGGCCATTCTCTGTGGCACCTCCACTTCTGCCGCTGAGCCCCAACTCCACGTGGAGAACCGACAGCAATGAGTCCAACAGGCTGCCTGAATCTCCTCCGGCGTAGACCTCGAAAGCCTGATCCTGGCAACCTGCGATGGCAGACGCGAGCGCCGATGATATCGACAGCGTGTCGCTTACCCTGGCGCTGAGCTCAAGGGTCGACCACTCGCCCTCCTCGCTGCTGTAGCCGAAGGGCCCCGTGCTCACCTGCGCCAGAGGCACCGCACCCGAGACTGCGCGGCCAGTGACCTGGGCGCTGAGGGCCGGCAGTTCCTGAGCGAGCGAAAAAGGGGCACCACCACCGCTGCTCCCGGGACCTCTTCCAGGGCGCGCTCCGACCAGGACCTCGAGGCGACTCCAGCCGTGGCGGCGAGGGAGGCGCCGCGGCGCCAGCATCTCTTCAAATCGGACCGGGATCCAACGGGGATCTCTGACACCCAGCTCTGGAGCGTTCTGGAGCGTTCCGGAACGAGCTACCCCGGCCCCGGCCCCGCCCCGAGAGTTCCTCCCCTGGGCTCCAGCACGTAGGGCACCTGCAGGAGGCACGGCAGCCTCGCCGCGAGCCCGACCGCCAGGCGCACGCCGAACTGCCCCTCCGGGGCAGCGCCGTCTGGGCACGCCTGCAGGCAAGGCAGGCGGACGGGGCGCCCGAGCTCCTCTCCGCCGACGACCTCGAGCCTGATCTGGACGCCCGAAATGGAGACGTAGAAACTGGGCACAATGCCCCACAGCAAAGCTGTGTCCAAAACCGACGGCGGCCGCCGTTGGGCGGGCGGCCTCTCTCAGATCGACCACGTCCGCGGCGACACCGACAGGCGAGCCCTGGTCAGAAGGAAGAGGAACTGCTCTCGGTCTTCTTGCCAACTCTTCCCGCACAGTCGGGCCCAGGGCAGACGAACATCCTTCGAGAGCATGAGACCCTCTGTCGCCCCCCCCAAAAACAAAAAAACATCAAAGGGAACCCTCCCCGGGATGCACAAGAGCATCCAACAGGCACGAGGAACAGCGGGGCAATGGCCCTCCCCGAACCGACCTCGCTCTGACGCCTCGGACGGCCCGCACCCGCTCTTCCCTTAACGGGTGAAGAACGGTATAAAATATGTTTTGTTCGCCGTCGGGGGCACCTGCCCCTGGGCGGCTGGAAAGTTTATACCCTACGGTGCCACCGTAAGGGTATAAACTTTCCAGCCGCCCAGGGGCAGATGTCCCCGACGGCGACAAAGTTTATTCCCAACCAACCTGTGTTGTTGGGTCCTCGTTTTGAAGAGACGGTGGCCCGCGTCTCCTCCTCTCCTCCTCTCCTCCTCTCCTCCTCCTCCCCCTCCTCCTCCGCACACCCATTTCGGCACACCCCTCACACGCTTCGTGGCCCCATAGGGAGCTCCACCGAGGTCCCAGTGGGTGTGCCCGCATGGTCCCGCACACCCATTTCGGCACACCCCTCACACGCTTCGTGGCCCCATAGGGAGCTCCACAGAAGGTCCCGCATGCGTCCCGCACACCAATTTCGGCACACCCCTCACACGTTTCGTGGCCCCATAAGGAGCTCCACCGAAGGTCCCAGTGGGTGTGCCCGCATGCGTCCCGCACACCCATTTCATCACACCCTTCACATATTTCGTGGCCCCATAGGGAGCCCCACCGAAGGTCCCAGCGGGTGTGCCCGCATGCGTCCCGCACACCCATTTCGGCACACCCCTCACACGTTCGTGGCCCCATAGGGAGCTCCACCGAAGGTCCCAGTGGGTGTGCCCGCATGCGTCCCGCACACCCATTTCGGCACACCCCTCACACGTTTCGTGGCCCCATAGGGAGCTCCACCGAAGGTCCCAGTGTGCCCGCACACGTTTGTGGCCCCATGGGGAGCTCCACCGAAGGTCCCACTGGGTGTGCCCGCACGCGTCCCGCATACCCATTTCGGCACACTCCTCACACGTTGATGGCCCCATGGGGAGCTCCACCGAAGGCCCCAGTGGGTGTGCCCGCATGCGTCCCGCACACCCATTTCGGCACACCCCTCACACGTTTCGTGGCCCCATAGGGAAGTCCGCCGAACGTCCCAGTGGGTGTGCCCGCATGCGTCCCGCACGCCCATTTCGGCACACCCCTCACACGTTTCGTGGCCCCATAAGGAGCCCCACCGAAGGTCCCAGTGGGTGTGCCCGCATGCGTCCCGCACACCCATTTAGGCACACCCCTCACACGTTTCGTGGCCCCATAGGGAACTCCGCCGAAGGTCCCAATGGGCGTGCCCGCATGCGCCCCGCACACCGGCACACCCCTCACACGCTTCGTGGCCCCATAGGGAGCTCCACCGAAGGTCCCAGGGGGTGTGCCCGCATGCGTCCCGCACACCCATTTCGGCACACCCCTCACACGCTTCGTGGCCCCATAGGGAGCTCCACCGAAGGTCCCAGTGGGTGTGCCCGCATGCGTCCCGCACACACACCCATGTCGGCACACCCCTCACACGTTTCGTGGCCCCATACGGAGCTCCACCGAAGGTCCGAGTGGGTGCGCCCGCATTCGTCCCGCACACCCATGTCGGCACACCCTTCACGCGCTTCGTGGCCCCATAGGGAGCTCCACCGAAAGTCCCCGTGGCGCAGTCCGCACGCGTCTCCCCCACCCAGTACACCTCCGTCGGAGGCCGTCGGAGTTCCGCGCCTCCCTCGCCCGTCGTCGCTCTGCCCAGCGGCAAGAGCCTTGCCCGCTATCAGCCAGCCAGCTAGCTCTCTTTGCTGCGCGCAGCGGACGACCCGCGCGCGTCGCTGGGACCCCTCCGGGGCGACCTGCGCGCGTCGCTGGGACTCCGCGCTGTGCTGCGCCCGCAGCTTTGGACTTTTGAGTGCGCGGGCAAAGAGGGAGTAAAAGAAGGGGAGGAAGCGGGCGCGATCCTCGCGGTGGCGTCGCGGCGCGCGGGCGATGCCGTCGGGGAGTCCCGGGGAAGCTCCTTGCGGCGGCCACGCCCACACGAGTACACTGAGGCAGTCATTCACCAACTATTAGCATTCATATACACTTGCACCATGCATTGGCATACTCGCATTCGTGCACGTAGACTCGCTCGCACGCTGATTCATTCACAGTCAGACGCACTCGCGCTCAGATTCACCCGCGCTCAGTCTCCCTACGTACTCAGATCAATCGTTTTCGTTCGCGCTGCGTACCACGCCATTCATTTCGGCACACCACTAGCACGGTTCGTTGCCCCATAGGGATCACCACCCAAAAAAGGAATCACAATTGCGGTACTCCCACCTGCACATGGTTGGGTCCTTCGTCTGGCTAATTCTATACCGTTCTTCGCCCGCTCATTCCCGTGCCCATTTCGACCGCACGGGCCCGCGGAGAGACGGCGCGCCGAAGGAGAGGCTGCACCCGCCCTGCTCGGGCTCCGCGCCGGCGGGCGCCGGGCTCGGCGCAGGGCCCGCCGCGGCCGCCCCGCGGAGCAGCTCCGCCAGGCTCAGCACGGCGTGCTCGCCGCCGGCCCCCGGGCGCGCCGCCGCGGCGAGGCCCGCCGCCGCGAGGCGCAGGGGCACCTCGAGGCCGGCGCGGCCTGGAGGGCGTCGGGGCTGCGGGGACGCACGCGCCAGTCGCTGCAGGCAGGTGCAGTCGGGTCGTGGACCTAGGGAGCCCTAGATAAGGAGAGAGGCCCCTTCTTCCCATCGGTGAAAGTTCGAGTTCCCATCGAAGAGCTGAGGAAAACCTGAGGCAAGCTGTGAAGCAATCAAGGTACACGGAGCCCCTCCCCAGCGAAAAGGGTTCCTTCTTCAGCGCCCCGACTGTATGGCTGGATGCCCAGATCCTCATGTGCGTAGGCCGCCTTCCTACTTCAGGAGTCGAGCGGCGTTCCCTCCTCCCTCCTCTTCAGGGGGCGGCCAGGGTCGGGTCGGGCATGTCCTCCGACAGGCAGATTTTGGAAGGAAGCTATGACATAGTCAATCATATTCAAAAGTAAAACAAACGATCGACAAATGGTCCCTGGCCTGCTTTTTTGACTGTTGGTGGATTTTCCTCCTGTAGAGGGACGTGCCCGACTGAAGGCCTGAGGCACCTCGAGGACGAGCGTGCGAGTCTCGGGGCTGCCTGGACTGTGGAGGCCCCGGCGTGCCTCCCGGGACGGCACGCCCCCTGTCGAGGTGCCGCAGGCGGCCGCGGGTCTGCGGCCGCGGCGTGCGCCAGAGCCCAGGCTCTGGGAGTCCCCGGGTGGGCGCCGGGGCCGCCTGCTCTGGGGCACGTTCGGCCTCCCTCGGGCGCCTCGTCCTTGCTGGGCCACCGCGAGGCCTCTCACCGCCACGACCGTGCTCCCCACGGCATCCTGCCCAGGACCCAGGGCCCCCGGAAACGGGGACTTTGCTCTGATGAACCCCAGGACGTTGACGCACGCGAGAACACGGCGGCCATGTGTCGAAGCAGTCTCCACTCTTCACTTGCTCCGGCTGGACCCTGCAAAACCCTGGCTGTTTTGCAGTGCGCTCGTTTCCGCAGCCCTGAAAACTCACTTCTGGAGAGGTCCGGGGCCAATTCTTGAAAGGGCTTCTCGAGTCCAGCACGGCCTGCCCAGCGAGCGCCCCAGCGGCCCAGGGGGCTCACGGATCCCTCCGCGCGTAGGGTGCCGTGGAGCTCGCCGCTGAGGAGCAGGTCGAGCGCCTGCGACCTGAGCACCTGCACATCGGAGGGCGACATCCTCATGTCCATTTGGATGTTGCCGCCGAGCCCGGGCCTGAGATCTGTCTCGGGCACGAAGAGGGAGCCGATGGCGCCGCCGCCGGGCGCCGACAAGTTCAGCCTCACCTCCCCAAAGCCAACACGGAAGCCGAAGGCGTGAAGACTGGCGGGCACCTGCATGTCGCCCAGCACCCGCAGCTCCTCCGAGGAGCTCTGCACCTGGAGGCGCAGGGAAGGGGCATCGTCCGGAGATGAAAGTCGGCGCTGCGTCCCGGTCGCCCACTCGTCGTCCGCTGCTGACATCAGCATCTGCATAGACACCGCCAGCTCCAATTTTCCCAGAAGCGCGTCCAGGAGGCTCGAGCCGTTCCCTGGCTGGCCACAGCGGACATTCAGCTCGGCAGGCGCGCCCGATCTCACCCCCGAGCTGAAGTCCACGACGGACCCGAAGTCCTCCACGGCAATGACGTGGGATACCGTAAGCTCGTGATTCGAAGAGTTTAGCTCGAACTCCCGCAAGAGCATGTGCCCCAGTTGCGGAGAGGTCTTATTGCCGTACGAGCTGCTGAAATCGAAGCGGATGGTAGGGATGGTGAACTGGACGTCTACACCACCCATGTCGACCGCCCAGCCAGTGTACACATCTGCGGCGACCTGTGACGGGCGCTCGCCAGTCGGGTCCACGAAAGCGCTGACGCCAGTGAAATACACGTTCCTCAGCACTCCGCCGGTGGTGGTGGTGCCGTGCAGCACTTCACTACCGTCCCATGGATCGGTGAGATTGAAAGCGAGTTCCAGCCCGGCTGTGTCCTCGCCGACGAGACGTCTACTGGGACGGACGCCGAGCAGCGCAGACGGCAGCAAAAAGCGGGGCCACAGGAAGCTCACGTCCACGAGTCCTTCTCCAGCGATGGCACCTTGCAAGCGGTATGCCTGCTGCTTTTCTCTCGACCAATCCCGGAAGAGGTGGGCGATCAAGTCCCCTCCGTCGGGCGCCACAACGCTCAGACCGAAGCTGCTCTCCTGGCCGTGCGCAACACGACTGGAACTGGCCGTTGCGAGCACTTCTGGCGTCAACATCTTCATCACTTCACAAGAGCGCCCCCCACGGTAGCATTCCAAGAGTGCGTTGCGCCCGTGATGCTCCATCGGGTCTGGCTCTTCACTCAACTGGAATGGGCCGACACTCAGTGCCACTGGCTTCATGCTGACGTTCGCGACCCCGATGCTGGGGTACCTTCGGGGGGGCCCAAATCGGTGCGGTGACAGACCGTGCGGTGATCTCGAAACCCCAAAAGACCTCATCGCGCGGTCGGTCCTTCACCGCACGGACTCTGGACCGCGGCGGCCCCAGTCGCCCGAGACGTCCTCGGAGAGAAGCCCGGGTCCGAAAAACCGCGCGGCTACCCCGAATCCCCACTGGACTCGCCACACGGCGAGGTCACCGCATCGTTTGTCGGCTAGACGTAAGAGTGACCCTGGGTAAGAGTGACCTTTGGTACGCAGCTTTCGGGGGCGAAGGGGAGCCAAACCCAAGGGCGCGGGCCGCTTATACCGAATCGCGCTCGGCGATCGGGGGGAGCCCGCTGAGCCCGCACCAAAGGTCACTCCGGCGAAAGGTCACTCTTACGTGTAGTCGAGTTTTGGGGCCCCGACGCCTGACTGCGACCGCCAAGTCGATAGACTCGGCCCTGGAGTGCACCGCAACGTCGGCCCTGGCGCTGCCAACGGTGCCCCACGCAGCGTCGCCTGCCTGCGGCAGCACGCGCCGCGCGGCACCTGCGCCCTCGCCCGCCCCGCTGGGCGCGGAGGGCGCCAGGCTCACCACGACTGGAACCCCAGCCAGGATGAAGCTCAGAAGGCCGCCGTCGCTCTGGGGCGCGTGGATGCACAGCGACTGCCCCGCTGCAGGGCTGCTGATGTTGTGCGCTGCCCAGAGGCCTTTCGCCACGTCGGGCACCGTGATGTTGAGCGGGGAAACGCGCAGCCACCCCTCTGCCATCTGCAGGCTCTCCAGGGCGATGATGGCACCGGCAGCATCATCCGAGCACTCGCAGCCCACGGCTACCCGAAGCCCGCGGGGGACGCTCAGCGCGAGGCGCACACCGGTCGCGCCCAGGCCCAGGCTGTACGAGCTGTCGAGCTCAGCGTCTAGCGACGTCGGGTCGCCCTCGTCCTGGCACGGGGGCCACGAGGTCAGGCAGTCCAGGTCCAGGGGTCTGCCGCTGGAGACCAGCCTGCGCAGCTCCAACTGGACGCTCGACTCACTGCCGCGCGCGCGCTCGCCTGGCTCCCCAAGGCCGCCCTGACTGCCAATCTGAAAGCTCCTGTTCCAGACGTGGGCTGGGAAGAGGTCCTCCCTCTTCGCGCTCAGGATGCCGAGCATGTCCTGCATTAGAGGAGCGAAGAGCATCATAAAGATAAACTGTCGGAGGTCCGCGCGGATTTCTTGGATCGGCGCTGAACCCCCTGGCGGCGCCGCAAGCGCGCCTCTGGCGCCAGGGAGAAGAAGATCCAGCGACGATCCAAGAATTCGGCGAGGGCCTCCCAAAAAATTATGCTCATGCAGCGTTGATTGAGTGCTGCTTTTGTTTTTGACACGATTCGTCTTTCATTGCTACTACTGTTGCGATCATTCGTAGCACTCCTCTTGTGAATGCTGTTCGTGGCATCCTTACCTTCACGACCTGTGCTACGGACGTCAATATGATGAGCTCAGTCCTTGCTGCTCGGAATCACCACGTCGAATACTCCCCCCGAAGCCAGCGCCAGAGTGGCAACGCACGCGGAGCTGACCACGGCAGCCGGGCGCGCCGCCAGGTCCGCCAGGCAGGCGATGCGCTCGCGCAGCGCCCGCCCGCCGACGGCGCACGCGGCCGGCCCCGGCCCCTGGCAGCTGCTGTCGAGGCGGGACGGCAGCCCCGCGCCCACCCAGAAGAGCTCGTCGTCGCTCCTCGCGACGTGGCCACGGCTGGAAGAAAGAACCGGAGCCAGAACACACAAACCGTGGGCGCTCCGCGCGGATGTCTTGGATCTGCGCTGGGCCCCCCCCCGGCGGCGCCTCTGGCGCCGCCCCTGGCGCGCTGCGCGCGCCAGGGAGGGGGGCCCGGCGCAGATCCAAGACATCCGCGCGGAGCGCCAAAAATCTATGTTCGTGGCCCTGCTTCTCCTTCGCATGGCGCAGCCCGAGCGAGCCGCCCTGCCTGCCGGCCAGGGTCCGCAGGGCCGCGCGCGCCGCCCGCGCCTGCCCGTGGCCCTCCACCCGGACGCTGCACGCCACCGCGAGCCCCCCCGCGGGGGGGGCGGCAGACCGCAGGAGGACCGAGGCGGCGGGCCGGTCCAGGTGGTCCCTCATGAAGGGGCCCACAAACGCACAAAGAAATGCACACAAATAAAACGCTTCCCCATGGTTTCCCATATTTTCTGGGTGTCTGTCTTCCCCCCCATTTCCCATATTTTCGCCTATTTTCTGGGAATCGACGACTAATTGTGTCTGTGTGTTTTTTTCCCTCCTGACCTCAGCTGGAAGGTGACGTTTCCGATCTCCACGGCAAGCCCCAGGCTCATGCGCACGCTGCCCTGCACGAGCACCGCCTCCGGGGTGCTGTCAATCTCCAGAGCCACGTCGAGGTCCGAGTCACCGCCCAAGGGGTGCGCCTGCTGCGGAAGGCGGCGGCCCGTGCCACCGACTGGACCTGTCAGGTGAAAGCGAAGGCCAGCCAGCATGTCGCCGAGGAGACTGTCCCCCTCGCGCACCTGCACGGCCAGCTCGAGGTCCTGGGTGTTCTGCATGGTCCAAAGCTTGCCCAAGACCACGTCAAGGTCCACGGCCGTCGCCTCCACGTACAAACCCGTTGGCCCCTGTCCCAGCCTCCCCAGGTCCGCGGGGCTAGTGCTGACGACACCGCACGCCTGCCCGTTCATGGTCGCGTTCACGTGGATAGCCGGCAGCTGCCCGGAGACCTCGATCGGCAGTTCCACCGAGTACTTCAGCAACGCCCCGACGGTTGTGTTCACGACCTTGATCAGTTCCACGCCGTGCGCAGTGAACGCCGGCGAGGACGACAAGCGGCGCAGAGCGCCCGAGGTGGGCTCAACAGACTGTGGATTGCGTACGCGGTAAGGCGGCATCTGCGACAGCACCCGATTCAGTGCGCAAGCCTGAGGCGTGCTGGGGTCTCCGCGAACATAGAAGTAGCTCCCCTTGCCATCCCACGTTGTCTGAACCATGCTCTGGAGTTCTGGCATTTTCTCGGTGACATTTCCAGGAACGTAGGCCTCCAGGGTCGCGTTGAGCCCCTGGCCAGCATACTGCGTCGGGCCGATCCTCACTGCGATGACGGGCTCGGTGGCAGACTGCGGGCACGCCGACCCACAGGAGAATACGTCGTGTGCCTCCTCCGAAAAAAACACCTCGACGAAGGTCTCCGGCAGGCTCACGTCCAAGTGGCTCACACCGAGTGCGCGGCCCATCCTCGAGCAGGGACCGACCGTCGCAGCATTTCTACAGTCCTACCACGAAGTGTTCTTAGAAACCAGCAACGTTCGAAAAACAAAAGCAGTGCTCTTGGGACAGAAACCCGATGTGACAAGACAAGACCGACTCCGCCAGAAGTGCTCTGAGAACCTGCCGTGGGAACCACAGAAGGCTCTCAGAGCATTGTTCGGTAGGGCCATGGGCGGGCCAGGACGCTTCGCCACTGCCTGACATCCCGAGGGCGCACGCCAGCTCGGAGCCCACCATCAGCTCGCGACCGGCCTCCGCGCCGCCGGAGGCGCCACGGCCGTCCCAGAGCCGCAGGGACAGCACGCCGCAGCCGGCGCCGCCCTCGGCCGACGGCGCCGCCTCCTGCGGCGGCGCCGCCTCCTGTGCCAGCGCCTCCTCTCAGGAGGCAGCTGCTGGGCGGTCCCCGTCGGAAGGGCCAAGGGGGATGAAGCCCCACTGGGGGGGGGCTCTTGCGCCAGAGGGGGCCGATCGGATGAAGCGGGACGGAGCCGGAGGAAGCGGGACTGAGCGGGAGAGGAGGCCGGCTCCAGATGAGGCGGGATTCGGCCGGATTCGGCCGGATGTCGGACCAGGGCAAAATCAGGACTTGACCTCCCAGGAGTTGCGTCCGAAGGACTCCTGTGCCCGCTCGATGGAGGGGCCCGCCGCGCACGCGTAGGCGCAGCCGCCCTCCGGCGGGCAGTCGGGCCGGAGGCCGCAGGCGTGGTAGTCCGCCACCGTGCCCCCCTGGGCGCATTGAGGCGTGGTTTGAATGCCAAGGGCTATCTGGTCGGGTGTCTGTCATCTTCTGATGTGGGGAAACGAGCTCTATACACCGACACTTTTTCCGACCCTGCGCTGAGATTCGCACAGGAACGCGGATCCTGGTGTATACGGGATCCTGGTGTATACATGTTTCGTTGCTTCCCTTGGAAAACGGAGGAAAAGTATACACCACACCACCCCGACGTCGTCCCCGACCCTCAAAAAGTCATGGGATCAAGGTCCCCGCCGCAGGCAACTGGATAGGTGAATTCCACGGTGTGGCTGATCGGGATGCCGAAGGAGTGCAGCGTCACGGGGAGCACGAACCGCAGCGAGGCATGCAGCGGCGCCTCGTTGAGAAAGCGGGAGAGGCCGTCACCGAGCGCGGCGGTGTCTGGGACCATTGCGCTGACAGCGGCCATGAAGGTGCGGTTCCCTCCCTGGATGTGCGCGGTGTCGCTGTTGCTGGGGAATTCTACCAGCACGGATGACCGCATCACCTCGTTGTTCTGCGTCCAGCCAGTCACATCGATGATTCCTATCTCTACAGATTGTGCAAAGACGTCGGGTAATGAAACCCAGCCCTCGACCAGAAGAGGAATGTGAATGTCATTACAGAGGTCGGCGGTTTCCACCCTCACAATTCCAAAACTCATGGTGGCGGCAGCTCTCCACAAGTCGATCACTACCCAAGTCGAGTAAGCAACTACTGCAAGTGCCAAGCCTAGCGCGACTGCTGCGCATGATCTGACATATCGTTTTTTGTGGAAGCATGGCCACCAGGAGCAGGCCTGCCAGCAGACTGCTCGAAACCTAATGACGCGCACTTTGGAGGAAGAGGATGAGGAAAAGGTGGACGACGATGTGGCGAAAGAAGAAGAACCAGCCTGCAGCATTTTCTGTTCCCCAAGACTCTCGCGCATCGTCACTGGATGATCGGACGACCCACTTTGGTTCTCCGGCTGTATATCTGTAAGGTCAGCCTGCACCGTGTCGAAAACCTCGTGCGCACGAAACTTATGCTCGCACATACAGACCTCTACTGCCAATGGCAGGCCGCTTAGGGCTGTCCACGAGCAGTGCGACGTCCACTGGCGCAGGGTGGCGGTGGACTTGAGCCGGGTACTTGAGCCAAGCGATGGACGGAGAAGACGAGAGGGTCTGAAGGCCGTCCACGGCGGCGGCAGATCGACAGGACCGACAGCGAAACCGAAAGCGACCGACACCGACGCAGGCCGCAGGCAGCCCAGAAGAGCGCAGCAGCGCGGCCACGACACAACCGCCGACCGGACCGAACAGACTGCACACAATCGACTGCGACGCAGCCGACACGACTGAGTCGCGGACTCAGTCGGTGATCCTCGTCGTCTCGCCGTCGTGTCCTGACTCTGGCCTCCAGCGGCCGTCTGGGGTGACGCGGGCACTCCCAGGACACCCCCCTCGGGCGAGGCGCAGAGCTGGCTGAACAGTCTCTCGGCCCCCTGCTGTGCCGTGATGAAGGATTGCCCAGTTCTGACGGGGCGGCAGTACAGTCGGGGCGTTGACCTAAGGAACCCTAAATAAGGAACGAGGCCCCTATATTTTCCATAAGTTAAACTTCGATTTCGCATCGAAACCCTAAGGAGAATCTAAGGCAAGCTGCGAAACAATTAAGGAACACGGAGCCCCTCCCCAACGAAAAGGGTTCCTTCTTCAGGGCCCCGACTGTAGTGCATGCTGCGTCCGCAGTGCGAGCACACGTCGCTAGTCGCCCCGCTAGGGACGTGGAGCCTGGTACAAGGTTGCGGGGGAGGTGCTTTGCAACCGGGGCGGGGGGCAATCTGGGGTTTGGCACCTCAATGAAAATCCGATTCAGCTAAACGGGATGGCGGCTCGAAAACGGCGAATCGTCCTCACAAAAATGATTGTTTTGACGGTTCGAACTCGGGTCGAAACAATAGGATTCGGTTCGAAACAAAAGCAAAACGAGCGTCTCACGTGGGACTTCCTCCAAAATCAGGGGTCAGACCCGGTTCAAAACAACAGGATGGCGGTTCAAAAACGGCAGACCGCGTGGGACATCCCTCGCTACAACTTTTGGTACTAGTTGGAGAGAGGATTGTGGAAGGATGAAGCAAGAGCTGGGCGATGTGGTTGCCACAGGCATCTAGATGCTCACAGTTACTGGGGGACTCAGGCGCTGCTGGGCACAAGTAGCCCTGATTGCACTTCGGTGTAACCAGCTCCACGTCACAACAACACCGATGGAAACACCGCCTCCTGCCATAACGGCATTTGGATGCATCGTAGCTGTCAGTTCCGTTCTACAAAAAAGAAAAAAAAACTTCAACCACGCCCATTGTTTCGCTTCCTCCCCCTGGGTGTTGCCAGAGGTGTCCCTGGTAACAGGTGTCCCCAGGATGTCCGAGGAGGCCCGCACGACTTCCAGTGCACCCCCCCAGGGGCTAGACGGCCCCATGGGGCCCCAGAGTGTCGCGAAAAGCTGGGGATACCTGGAGCCAGGAACACATTCGGCAACCCCCGAAGATTGGCCTGGCCATTTTTGTTTTGTTTTTCTGATGGGTCACGGGTAGCCGGTGCGCGAGCGGCGTCTGCCAGACGCCGCGGCCGCCCCGTCGGCGTGGGAAGCGGCAGAGGCACAGGGGAGTAGACACCGACACTCCACGGATGCGCGGTGGAAAGCACTGTACTGGCAGCAAAAGGAAAACAAGCGGCCCTCTCGTGCCCCCCTGTTTCCTCCTCCTCCTCCCCCCCCCTCCTCCTCCTCCTCCTCCTCCTCCTCCTCCTCCTCCTCCTCCTCCTCCTCCTCCTCCTCCTCCTCCTCCTCCTCCTCCTCCTCCTCTCCTCCTCCTCTCCTCCTCCTCCTCCTCCTCCTCCTCCTCCTCCTCCTCCTCCTCCTCCTCCTCCTCCTCCTCCTCCTCCTCTCCTCCTCCTCCTCCTCCTCCTCCTCCTCCTCCTCCTCCTCTTCCTCTCCTCTCCTCCTCCTCCTCCTCCTCCTCCTCCTCCTCCTCCTCCTCCTCCTCCTCCTGCAACAGAATCCTCCTCCCTCCTCCTCCTCCTCCTCCTCCTCCTCCTCCTCCTCCTCCTCCTCCTCCTCCTCCTCCTCCTCCTCCTTCTCCTCCTCCTCCTCCTCCTCCTCCTCCTCCCTCCTCCATCCTTTCCCTGATAGATGAATCCTCCCCGTCGCACCCCTCTCCACTCGAAAGGGCGGGCCGGGTGTTTCGCATGAGATTTCCTCACCACTTACGACCCTGATACTTAAAAAATTGGCAACCGCTTCACGGATTGAGGGCGGGTGGCTTTCATAATGTGGCTCTCGCCTTAGCACCGCGCACATGTGATGCAAAATTCGCAAGGGCTTCACGGATTGAGGGCGGGTGGCTTTCAAAGTGTGGCTCTCGCCTTAGCGCCACACACATTCTTTCTTCAAATTCGCAAAAAGTTTCAAGATTTGAGAGCGGGTCGTTTTCAAAATGTTGCTCTCGCACTAGCGCCGCACACCTTTGTTTTCATAATTCGGAAGAGCTTCACTGATTGAAGGCGGGTAGTTTTCAAAATGTGGCTCTCGCCCAAGCGCCGCGCACATTCGTTTTCAAACTTTGAGAAAGCTTTACGGATTGAGGGCGGCTCGTTTGAAAAATTGGGTTTCGCCTGAGCGCCGCAACCATTCGTTCTAAAAAATTGTAAAAGGTTCACGGCTCGAGGGCGGTTCCTTTTTCAAAATGTGGCTCTCGCCTGAGCGCCGCGTACACTCGCTTTAAACATTGGTCAGAATTTCCATGATTCTCACTGTTACCGTACCAGGAATGGTGTTTTGACGGTTCCGGAAGGATTTCAAAATCGAGTTTCCAAAAAACATACAAACACACAGGGTTTCGCAACACGGACTTTCTTTTTTTCTTTTTTTTTTAAAAAAAAAAAAAAAAAAAAAAAAAAAAAAAAAAAAAAAAAAAAAAAAAAAAAAAAAAAAAAAAAAAAAAAAAAAAAAAAAAAAAAAAACGTGCGATCTTGCGAAATCTTAAGACAGCCATTGGTTTTTCAACTTTTTCAAAAAAATACTACCAAACGGACTTCGGGCGCGCATGTCGAAATCGTTCGAACGCCCTTGCGCGCGTGCCTTCGCGAGAATCCTCTGCAACAAAAAAAGACGGAATGCACACGCGCGCGTCGTCGCGCGCGCATGCCGAAATCCTTCAAACACCGTCGGTTCCGGAAGGATTTCAAAATCGAGTTTCCGAAAAACCTACAAACACACAGGGTTCCGCAACACGGCTTTTCAACAAAAGCGTGCGCACGCTCTTGCGTCGTCGTCGTCGTCGTCGCCATCGTCCCTCCTCCCTCGTCGTCGTCGTCGTCGCCGTCGTCGTCCTCTGTCTTTCCTCGTCGACGTCGTCGTCTTGGCGTCGTCGTCGTTGTCGCCGTGGTCGTCCTTCCTCCCTCGTCGTCTTCGTCGGCGTTCCGTCGTTGTCTCTCCTTTTTCGTCGCCGTCGTAGTCGTCGTCGTCTTCCCTCCTCCCTCGTCGTTGTCGTCGTCGGCGTCGCCGTGCCCCCTCCTTCTTCGTCGTTCGCGTCGTTCGCGTCGTCGCCGTCCTCCCTCCTCCCTCGTCGTTGTCGTCGTTGTCGCCGTCGTCGTCCTCCTTCCTCCCTCGTCGTCGTCGCCGACTTCGTTGGCGACGTCGTCGTCGTCGTCTTCGTCATCGTCGTCGTCGTCGCCGTCGGCGTCGTCGTCGTCGTCAACGTTGTCATCGTCGTCGTCGTCGTCGGCGGCGTCGGCGTCGTCGTCGGTGTCGTCGTCGTCGTCGTTGTCGTCGTCGTCGAAGTCGTTGGAGACGTCATCGGTGTCGTCGTAGTCGCTGTCGGCGGCGCCGTCGTCGTCGTCGTTGTCGCTGTCTTCGTCGGCGCCGGTGTCGTTGCCAAGTGCCATTTGGTACCCACCGTCACGGTCTTAAGAGGTCTTGCACCCAAATTGCGGGTGGGAGGGTGGGATGTTTGCACGAGCAGTGGAGAGAACAGCTTCAAGTTGAGCAAATGCTTGATTATCCTTTTTTTTTGTTTTTTTGTTTTTTTGTTTTTTTATGTTTTTCAAATAAGTAATATATATATATATATATATATATATATACACCTCTTCCTATATGTTTATAAGCCCGGGCGGGGGGGAAACCCGTCCCCCCCCCCAAAAAAAACCAGACTCCCGGGACCTGGGGCTTTGGGGCCCTCCGGACGGGCTTTGAAGCGGCCACCGGGCCTCGCAAGGCGTTTTGCCAAGCCTTCCCAGCACACTTAGGGCGATCAGGGGGGTCATCGGAGACGTCCCAGAGACCCCCAAGACAGCACAAGAGCGCTCCAAGAGTGACCGACGTGACCTCAAGATGGCCCAAGAGGCCTCCAGGACGGCCCCAAAGAGGCCTCCAAGAGCACTCCCAAGAAGGCCACCCGAGGCAAAAATCATTGATTTTCTGTGGGTTTTTGGTGAATTGTGGGGTTATCCTCTTTTCGGCTTCCCGACGCTCCAAGACCGCGATCTTCTGGGCGTCCGAAGCCGCCTGGGAGGTTCCCAAATCGCCCCACAACCATCCGAAAGGGCTTCCAGGCAGTCCAAGAAAGCCCCAAAACGGCACAACACGGGTCCAAGATGGCCCTCAGAGAGCCCCATGGCGGCCCAAGATGGCCCAAAGACACCCTCCGAAGAATTCCAAATCGTGATTCGGTCGTTCAGGGAGACGGCGGTTGGAGGCAGGGTGGCCCGAGGAAACCCTCGGAGGCCCCCAGGATACGCCCAGGAGGCCTCCAGAAGGCCTTAAGAAAGCCCGAAACAACTTTTGTGAGGCCCTTAGAGGCTCTCCAAGGAGGAGCCTCCGCAAGAAAGAGCAGAGGAGGATGGGGAAAATGCGCAGGGTATGGCGAAAATAAGGAACAATAACCATGGAGGAAAGGTAAAGAATAACATCATTATAGCGGCGATGCCGGAAAAAAAACAACCAGGAGTTATCGCTACATTGTCGGCATGACCTTCCTGCCATTCCGCCTGCATACCAAACTTCAAGGACCAAGGTGCATGGCGCGAAGCGCCACTGCGGTCTTGTGTATACATATATATATATATATATATATAGTGCGCGCTCTTGCAAATCCTTACGCAAACCATAGGTCGTTCAGTTCTTGCTCTGAGAACTCTACTACCAAACTCGCTTCGCGCGCGCGCATGTCGAAATCGTTCGGACGCCCTTTGCGCGCGTGCCGTCGTGAGACTCCCGTGCAGAAAACGATGCGAAGTGCACGCGCGCGTCGTCAGACGCGCATGCCGAAATCCGCCAAAAACCTTCAGTTTCGTAACGATGTCAAAACCGAGTGCAGGAGAAAAAAACACACACAAAAAAAAAAAAAAAAAAAAAAAAAAAAAAAAAAAAAAAAAACGTATATATTCGCAACATCAGGTTGTTTATTGTGTTCCGCATGTTGCTGATTATTCATTTTTATGTACATATATATGTATATATGTGTATATGTGTACATATACAGATTTACATATATATATATATATATATATACAAATGTACATATATACATATATGTATGTCGTAGAGGTATGTGTGCATACGTTTTACAAATGTGTATAAATAAACATGAGCACATAGGACTTGATACATACATACATACATACATATACATATATATGTGTATGTGTATGTATGTGAATATACCTGTACAAAAAAAACTCGCGGTCTTGCGGACTCTTGTGAAAGCATAGGTTCTTCGACACTCTCGTGGAATTCTGCCCAACGGGCCTCCCGCGCCGCATGCCGACATCATTCGCACGCCCTTGCGCGCGCGCTGGAGGGGCACGATACGTGCCAAATTATACTAGCGGGCCACTCTCGCGCGTCGGCCGCGCGCGCACGTCGAACTCTTTCCAAGCCCGTCATTACCGACGCGAGAACGCCGTCATCGTGGTCGGCGTGAACAACATCCGCGCCGTCACTGGCCGTGCCGTCGTCGCTGTCAGTATCGTCACCAGCATCGCTACTATCATCATCGTGTCTACCCTTGTCGACGTTACCATGATACCGCGCCCACCCAAGTCGCCAGTTTGCACTGAAGTGCCCGCTGGGATGTGCCCAGCGGTCAGCGCCACCGCGGCTGCTTCGGTCGCGCCAAAGTAGCTGTCCGCTGCGCGCGCGAATGCGCGCTTTCGCGGCCGCAGAGATGCACCAGCCAGCGCCAAGCACTCATCGCAATCGCCGCCGCATGGGATTTGCAAACCAAGTTGCGGGTGGGTGGGTGGAATGTTTGCGCGAGCAGCGGAGTGGACAACTCCAAGTTAAGCGTTGATTAATTTTCCTTTCTAGAAACGGAATAAGATCTACCCCCCCGGCGTTATCGGTCCCCCTTTCGGGTATGTAAATCATATACGATTCTGACCACATGCCCATCCTAAATATGAGTTTACACTATCCCCGGGGGGGCCTGTATCCCCCCCTGAGGGTCCCTTGTAAAACACACTATGCGGTGACATTTGTTGTTCTAACATAACACTGTTTCACGGATCCCTTGCAAAAAAAAGGACGAAGTGCACACGCGCGCGTCGTCGCGCGCGCATGCCGAAATCCTTCAGGAACCTTCGGTGCTGGAAGGAGTTCGCAATCGAGTCTCAAAAAAAACATACAAAAACACATGGTTTCGCAACACTGATTTGTTAAAAAAACTTCCGCGCGAGCTCTTTCGAAATTTTAAGAAAACCATAGGTTTTTCAAGATTTTTACAAAATGCTACCAAACGGGCTACGCGCGCACGCATGTCGAAATCTGTCGAACGCCCTTGCGCGTGTGCCGTCGCGAGAATCCTCTGCAAAAATGGGACGAAGTGCAGACGCGCGCGTCGTCGCGCGCGTATGCCGAAATCCTTCAAAACCCATTGGTTTCGGAAGGGTTTCAAAAATCGTGTGTCCAAGCAACCTACAAAAACCCAAGGTTTCGCAACACGGATTTTCAACAAAAGCGTGCGCGCGCGCTCTTGCGTCGTCGTCGTCGTCGTCGTCGTCGCCGTCCTCCCTCCTCCCGCGTCGTCGTCGTCGCCCACGTCGTCCTCTGTCTTTCCTCGTGTTCGTCGTCATCGTCCTCTTTGGCGTCGTGGTCGTTTCCGTCGTCGTTGTCGCCGTGGTCGTCCTTCCTTCTCCTCCCTCGTTGTCGTCGTCGTCCGTCGTCGGCGTCTCGTCGTAGTCCCTCCTATGGCCTCGCCGTCGTCGTCGTCGTTGTCGTCGTCGTCTTCCCTCCTCCCTCGTCGTTGTCGTCGTCGGCGTCGCCGTCCTTCCTCCTTCTTCGTCGTTCGCGTCGTCGCTGTCCTCCCTCCTCCCTCGTCGTTGTCGTCGTTGTCGTCGTTGTCGCCGTCGTCGTCCTTCCTCCTCCCTCGTCGTCGCCTTCGTTGGCGTCGTCGTCGTCGTCTTCGTCGTCGTCGGCGTCGGCGTCGTTGTCGTCGTCGAAGTCGTCGGAGACGTCGTCGGTGTCGTCGTAGTCGTTGTCGTCGGTGTCGTCGCAGTCGGTCTTAAGAGGTTTTGCTGACCAAGTTGCGGGTGGGTGGGTGGCATGTTTGCGCGAGCAGTGGAGATGACGACTTCAAGTTCAGCAGAGTGGGCTGCACCACACATGTTGTCCCACCTAGGTTGCACAACACATACTTGTAGAAGCACACTGCTTGGGGTCCACGCTGGCTAAAATTATTTTTCCTTTGGTTGGGGGGGGGTCCTCGACTTTTCGAGTTTCCGACGCTCCAAGACGGCCAAAGAGGCCCCAGAGACCGCCCCAAGACGGCCCAAAAGGCCCTCAGGAGGGCCCCAAAACTACCCAAGAAGACTTCCAGACGGCCCCAAAGGCGCCCAAGACGGCCCAAGAGGGCCCAAAGACAACCCCAAGAAGGACCCAAAAGGGGGGACACCAAACGAGCGAATCTTCCGCCCCAAGATGCCCCCAGGAGGCCGCAAGGAGGCCCAAGACGTCCCCAAAGAGGCCTCAAGACATCCCAACGAACATCCACGAGGCCCATGACCCACAACTCAGGGACGGTGGCGGGATGGGCCCCCAAGATCGCTCCGAGACGGGCCAGGAGGCCCCCAAGACGGCCCCAGAGGGCCCCGAGAGGGCCCAAGAGGGCACCAAGAGGGGAAGCTTCGAGCCCTCCGCCCCAAGATGTGCCCCGAGAGCGCCAGCAGGCCACCAAGAGGCCCCAAAGAAATCCCAGGAGGCCCCGAAGAGGCCCAAAAGAGACCCCAAGAGGCTCCCCAAGAAGCCCCCGGGAGGCTCCAAGACGCCCCAAAGCCGCCGCCCAGGGACTTCCGGGAGGCCTCCCAAGAGATCACCACGGGCATCCAAGAGGCTTCTGACCTACAACCCAGGCATGGTGGCGGGATTGCAGGTCAGAAGATGGCACGACCACCTAGCAACCGCGGGGCAAATCTGGGACCCACGCGCCAGGCACGAGACACCCTCAGTGCAACGCCGGGACAGCCACCAGACACCGCAATCCCTGGACGCCCGCGCCAGGCACGCGGGGGCCAAGCAGTCCGACGTGCGTGACATGCCCCTTGCCAGGGCAGCATCATCTCTGACGCCCTCGCGCAGCGTCGCCTCGCCCGCACGCGTGAGGCTCGAGGGCCTCTCGCTTCACGTCGGCCTCCTTCCCAAACCTCCGACTTTGACTGCGTCCTGCCTCGCCTCTGAAGGGTCTGTCTGCTTGCCGCTTCCCCGTGACCCCCTCCCGTCCACAGTCCCCGGCAGGGCGCAGGGCGGCGGCACCACGGCACTCGCGCTGCTTGCCCCCCCCCCGCCCCCCTCACAGCATCGACCAGTCGATGTCCACGTCCAGCGCCTGCAGCTCGAGCGCGACGCCGATGCTCTCCCGCACGTTCACCGTGGCGTGGCCCCACTTGTCGGGCACGAGGATCACGTCGCCCGCGCGCTGGGTGCACTCCAAGAGCAGGGGAGGACTTCGGATCAGCGCATCCACGGCCTCGTCGTCCTCGGCCGCGGCGCCCTCGCTGCGGCCGCCGCCGGCCTGCTGCGCCACAGCGGCCTTCGGGTACACGTGCTCCAGCCACTCGCGCGCGGGGATGTTGGAGAACGTCGCGTGCTGCGGAGGCGTGAGGAACCAGCGCTTCTCCCCGAAGGCGAGCGCGTTCCACGCCGGCCCGTGGAAGTGCATCGGGGCGCCCGAGCCCGCAGCGCCCACGTAGAACTCGTGCTGCCCCACGGCGACGCGGTGCAGCAGCTGGGAGATGAGCTCGGCGCTCGCCATAGCCTCCGTCGCGTTTGTGGTCACCGCAGCGCTGGGCGCCTCGGCCACAGCGCGAATCAGCGGGGCAGAAGGGGCCATGAACCACGGCCGCTCGGGGTAGTCTCCGATCAGCGAGCGCTGCGCAGATCTGCCGGCGCCGGCGCTGCTGCTGCCGCCGTGCGCGCTCTCGAAGATGTACGGCACGGGAGGCGCGGACGGCGAGGGCGAGGAATCCTCGACCCACCTCCGACTCCACCTCAATCTCCACTCCACGCCGCCTCCACTCCGCCTCCACCTCCGACTCCACATCGGCCTCCACTTCACCTCTCCCGTCCCTGGTCGTCCTCCTCCACATCGTGCCCGGACTCACGCCTGCAGCATTCTCCAGCCTGGTCCCCGACGCCTGGGCACAGGCGACGGCTCTGAAGGAAGGAGAGCCCGCTCGACCGAACACAGTCTCCGCCGCTGCTCTTCGTCTCTCGTCCACCTACCGTGCCTCGGAGGGGCCGTGCGCCAGGGCCACAGCAGAGCATCCATAGGGTCAATGCGTATCCTCGCTTTGGCAATGTTGCTGAGGGACCTTTTGGCCAGAACGGGGACTCGGCATTTCGCATCGTCTGGTCAGGACGGGGGCACGGGGATCTTGGTCAGAACGGGGACTTTGGTCAGAACGGGACTGTTGTTGGGGACCTCTGGTCAGAACGGGGACTCGGGTCAGAACGGGGGCACGCCGTACGTGGCCCGAGGAGTCGCGCGATCGGCCTCGAGCTGCCCGCAGAGCGGCTGCCGCGACTCCTGATCTCGCCCTCACAGAGCGCTGGACGGCATCCCTCCCGCACTTTTCGGCATGAAATCCGTACACCACGATTGAGCGGGCCCTCGAACAACACTTTCGCACTGCCAAGGCATGTGGACAGAAGCGGGCGTTCCGGTCGACCAGATGGCCCATGTGGCCGTCGTATCGGAAACAAGCACGAGCCTGGCCGTGGCCGTCGAGGAAGTCAAAGCTCGAAACGGCCAAAATTTGGAAACTGCCGACGGCGGTGTTGGAAGCCACGAGCCAGGCTGAGCCTTGGGTAGGAAGGCACCAACTATACACCAACACCGATCCTGGCCAGGATCACCCTGGGCCCAGGATCGGTGCATACGCCCTGCTGCCTTTCGCAAGAAGGCACATACACCGATCCTGGGCCCAGGGTGATCCTGGGCCAGGATCGGTGTTGGTGTATAGTTGGTGCCCTCCGATTGGGAGCGCAGCCAAGCCGAGCGGTTTGGATGCAGGCTCTGCCTCTGGCTCTGTGGAGCCGCTCGCGGGAGAAGGGCGCCTCCTTGGATCTGGCTCCCGGGGACGTCGACCAGGGCGCCTCGACGCTGCTTTTGCAGAGTAGGGCCGCCGAGCTCAGCAAGGGGCAAGTGGGCCCTCAGGGAAACGGGTCCCGGACCCCGGGGGCCTTCCATAGTAGGACGAGGTCTTTCGTCCTGAGCCGCTCTCGGACACTCCCGGGGCCCGTGGAGGGCCCCGAGCGCCCGAAAACCGCCAAAAAAATCTCGGGACCCAGGTCCCTCAGGACCCGCTTCCCCCAGGACGCGACGAGCGCAGGTCCCTGCTGCGGCTCGCCACGCCGCGCCGCCGAATCCCCTGCCCCTGCTCCTGCGGCCGCCCCCTACGGGGCGAGCCCCGGCCCCGCCTGCGCGTGCTGCCGTCGGCGGCGACGCGAGGGCACGAGGCGTCGGATATATGGCAGCTGCCGGGGCGCGGCAGAGCCACTGGAGCAGCGGAGCCGCAGGACCACCAACTCGGAACGGGTCCCCGTGCCCCTGCTCAGAGTTGAAGGAATATCAGGCTTTTTATAATATATATATATATAACATGAGTATATGTGTATATAAATAGCAATAACAAAAAACAAAAAGCAAAAGAATAATAATATATATCTATATATACAACAAAAAAAACTTCCCTCGAAGCGGGTCCTCAGCCACTAGCCCAGGTCCACAGATTGCGAACCTCCTGCGCAGAAGGGAGGGTCCAAGAGAACGCCCAGGGTCCAGTCCGGATCCTTGAGAGTCCTGAGCGAACTCACGAGTTCTGCTGGGTGTACGAATGGCATCGAAGCACCTCGCTGCCGATCTTACGGACTCCCTTGGCTTCTCAGGGCGCATGTCTAAGACTGTCATCGCCGTCGGTCCTGTCAATCTCAGGGAGAGGGCCAAGCTCGAGGCTGATTACAGGAGAGCCGCTGCTGAGGAGAGCGAATGGACAAGCGCGTTCCACTCCTCGCAAAGACACTACTCGCAAATGGCCTGGATCTGCCGCGGTGGATTGACGATATATTGCAACTAGAATCACGCACGCGCTTCGCGCGCTTAGGTTCTAGTAAGCCCCAGGCCGTGACAAGCTCACTGATCCTCTGAAAGAGTTACCCACACATTGCATGAATACGAGGCGCACCGAAGCGTCAAAAACGCGGGCCGAACAGAGATCGATCACATTCGATATCACATCCACACAAGGCAGTGCGAACCAATGCCAAGCAGTGAAAATAATGTTCACAATGGAGTGCCCGCACTGGCACTGCAATGCAACGCATTGCCAGGAAAACCAGATGCGAGTGCCATGCAGCGAGAAGCAAAGCAACTGAAAGGCAAGGCAATGCGATGCCATTCAAGTCAATGCAACGCAGAACAATGCTCGCCAGCGCAATGCCGTTTGCGGAACAACGTCCGTGCACATCCGTCGGAAAACAACCAAGAGAAAGACAATGCAATACAATGCCGAATAACGCAAGAGGCCGTAAGAACCCGAGGGTTCCAGAACCTCAGGGATCCCAGGGATAAGGTGTGCAAAATAAGTGGTGGATGACCCGATTCCGGCGTTGATAAACATCCATATGACGCTAGCGCACAAGCTCGTCCTCCTCCTCGCCACCCCCCTCCTCCTCCTCATCCTCCTCCTCCTCCACCTCCTCCTTCTCGCAATCTATCCTCTGGCCGGTCGGCTGGCCCCGGCCGGCGACCGTTTAGATTGCCACACAAACTTAATTTCATACAGGAAGAAAAAAGCAAGTAACGAATTCCCCACCCCCTCCCCAGGCTGCACGGCAAAAACTGTCACGGGTGGCCCCCGGTTCATCGGCCACGCGGCCGGGACAAGCTATATGCTTTCTAAGTTGGCCACGAGAAGAAGGGTGAGAAGCAGCGTAGTGGGACCGCGAAAGAGACCGAAAGCTACAAACTCCCCAGCGGTTTTGGGCAAGCACGCGGGAAGGCTCCAGGAAGGCGCGCAGGGCAGCCACGAGGACCCAGGGGGGAAGCCCGAGAAGCACGAAAGGAGCTCGGCAAACCATGCTGGGAGTCTCTCGGACTGCCTTTCGGGGGGGGCGCTCTCGGAAGGCTCCCTGAGAAGCCGCTTGGCCTCTCGGAAGGCACCTCGGAGGCCTCCGGTCACACCTGGAGCCTCCACAGAGGGGCCTCTTGATGCCTCTGGGGGTGGCTCGTGGGGCCCCCTCGGGGTAGGCCTAGGGGTAGGCCTAGGGTAGGCCTGGGGGGTAGGCCTAGGGGTAGGCCTAAGGTAGGCCTACCATCCGGGTTCTATATGCCCTCGGGCGCTCCCGGGGCCTCTTGGAGGCCTGCCGGGGCCCCGCGGGAGGTCTCGTCGGGGGCCGCCTCCGGGGGGGGGGCGCGCCCGCTCCGGGAGCTCGGTGCGTCCGCCGCCGGCGGCCCTTCTCTCCTGGGGCTCTCCTGGGGCAGCGCTCGTGGGCTGTGTTGGGGACTCCTCCGCCTCCTCGTCCTCCCCTGGGACGTAGGACCACAGCACGACCACGACGACGACGACGACGCCGCCGCCGCCGCCGCCGCCGCCGACGCCGCCGACGACGACGACGACGACGACGACGACGTTGGCGACAGCATACGGCTCGGCGGCGACAGCGCGGCGGCGACGGCGCGGCGACGACGACGAACTCCACCTCCCAAGGTTCGCAGAAGTCCGTGGGGCTCTCCGGAGGCCCCCGGGTGGGCCCCTGAAGCGTCCAAGGCCCCCCCCCCCCCGCAGAGGCCCAACAAGAGCCTCGCGAGGTTCGTGGATCGGGGCCGTCGTGGGGGTCTCCTGGGCGGTCCCAGAGACTTGGAGTCGCGAGGGGAGCAGGAGCACGAAGATCGCCGGCGAACAATATGCGGAATCCGTATGGGTTGCCTCTTGGTGCCTGCGGCCCATGCCGCCACCGTTCCTGGGTTGCGGGTGAGGCCTCTTGGAAGTTCGCTGGGATATCGTGCAAGGCCTCTCGGTGGCCTTTCGGAAGCAGTTCTGAAGCCTCCGTGGGGGCGCTTTGGAGCCTCTTGGGGCCTCTTTTGGGCCTCCTGGGGGCCTCTTTTGGGCCTCTTGGATCCTCCTGGGGGCCTCTTGTGGCGGAAGGCTCGAATTGTCGGTTCGCATTCCCCTCTTGGGCACCTCTTGAGGCCGTCCTGAGGCCCTCTTGGGCCGTCTTGGGCGCCTCTTGGGCCGTTTGGGGGCCCTCTTGGGCCGTTTTGTGGGCCTCTTGGGCCCTCTTGGGGCGAGGTTGGAGGCTCCTTAGCATAAAACATTGAAAAACAAACGGGATATCAATGATTTTGGCGTCTTGGGGGCCTCTTGGGCCATCATGCGGCCATCTTGGGCGGCTTGGTGCGCTCTTGGGCCGTCCTGGCGGCCTCTAGGCGTCCGCTGCGGGCGCCGATGAGGACCCTCGAGGCGCAGGGAACGCCCTGGAGCGTTCAAAAAGACCCGCCGCCGCCGGGGACTAAAGTGGGTTGCGGGGGGGAGGGGGGAGTTTTGAGAAAGTAGGGGCCCGAGGGCCCTGGGACCCCGTCGCCGGTTATATACGAAGCAAAGACATGTTTTGTTCGAACGTTTGCGAGTAGGCACTTTGCGAGTAGTGGAACACGCTTGGTGAGCAAAGGAGGAGCCGCGCTCACTGAGTACAGGAGGGAGGGCGAAAACACCGAACGGCCAACCAAAGCCACGATATATCGTGGCCAGCGCCAACCCTCCGATATCTTCCTGCAGCAGGTGTGGAGACACCTGCGCTCGCGAAGGTGGAGCCTTGCGTGAACTCGCTGGAGAGCGCCGCGCATGCTAGGCAAAGAGATCGGGTATTGCCACAGGTTTCCTTGGACCACTTAGTCCCCCCCACGGCCTCCAGAGCGCGCCTCACAAGAGAGCCAGCTCCAAGATGGCGCGGAAAGCTGGAGACACCGTGGGCCAGGAGTATCTCTGGCGACCCCCGGAGAGAGTCTGTGGACCTTGGCCCAACTTGTGCGCCAGTGCCTGGCGATTCAATTCGGCCAACGGATGGCGTGAAACGAGGCAATGGGGCACCTCCGCCAACGACGGGGGCACTGGCAGGAAAATTCGGCCGCCATCCAACGGCTAAAACCACAAACAGCTCTCTTCTCAATCCCCTTCCCCTGCCATCACCTCCACCTCCACCTCCACTTTCCCCGTCCTCAACCTCCATCCACCCCCATCTCCACATCCACCTTCTCCGCTTCCACCTTCAGCCCACCCCCCATCTCCACATTCACCTCCTCCTCCTCCTCCTCCTCCTCCACGTTAAGCTCCTGCCGCACCGACTCAGGCGCCACCTCTTCCTTCCCCTCCCCTCCACATCCACCTCCACCTCGATGTCCTGGGAGCGCATGGACTCGACGTGCTCGGACAGTGACCTGGTAGCCGTGGGCTGCTGATTGGCGCCGTAGACCTGCGCGTACGGGATGGTCGTTGGCTGGAAGAGTCGTGCGCCGTGCTGCTCAAGCAGCCGCTCACGGGCCCAAGCCTTGCGAAACTGCCAGTCGGCGGCTGCGCCGCGGAGGATGAGCGGCCGGCCAGAGAAAAGGTAGCGGCGCGCGAAGACCTCGCTAGTGATGTCGGCGGGGCTGACCTCGTCTTGTGGATGGCATGACCATGGACACTCTAACAGTCCGATCGTGGAAGTAAGCTAACAATGCTTAAACATATTGTTGTTGGCTTTAACATGTTTGAAAATGTTTTTTAAACAAAAAAACAACAACAACAACAACAAAAAAAAAAAAAAAAAACGAACAAACAAACAAACAAACAGACAAAAAAAAACGACATTGTAATTCAACTACAAGCTCGAAAACGAGTTTAAACATTTTGAGTCATCTAGAACTGGTTTGGCAACATGCTTGCGCCCCATTCATTTCATTGATCGTACTTCACGAACCTCGTCGATGTCGCACCTTCCAGCGGCGTCGGCGAAGGCGGTCGGCGACGACAGCCAGCCGCCGTCGCCCTCCGCGGTCGCAGCGCTGCTGCCGCCCTGGAGGCGCAGCGTGTGGCGATGGGCAGGCCGCATGGCGGACGGCGCCGCGCCGAAGCGCCGCAGCACCCGGAGCACCGACCGCGCCCCGTAGAGGGACGCGAGATCGGCGGCGGTGCGGCCGAGGGCGTCGACCAGCCCTATCAGCTGGGTGCGCTCCGAACCCTCCGCCGCGTGGCTCAGCACCATCGCCGCCACGGCGCCCATGTCGTGCATCGCGGCAATGTGCAGCGGCGTCCGGCCCATGCGATCCGCGCGCGCGGCCATGTGCCGCACGCCGCCGTTCCTGCCGCCGCCGCCATCCCCACCACCAGGGCCTCTGCCCGACGCGGCGGCGGCCTTGGCTGCCTGCCAGGCCTTCTTAGCACTGCCTGCGCGCCTCCTCAGTGCCTCGTTGTCGCGGTCGGCCTTGGCGGCCTTGAGCGCCTCCTTGTACGCGTTGTGCAGCGACGGCACGTCGCGAAGGTCGTCGATGGCTTCAAAGAAGGCGCCTACAGCTGCGGTGCTGCACGCGACCGTCAGCCTGGACGTCGCCCAGCGACTGAAGCCCGCAAATTCGCCATGACGGTAGCCCAGGCCAGTCTCGGTGCTCTTCGGCATGCCCTCGCTCACGGCCCGGCCGAAGCGGCGGATGTGCGCCGCGAGCTCGCGGTCGTGCGGGTCTGCGAGCCGCGCGAAGCTCTCGAACCAGTCGGCGCTGACAGACTTGCCGCCTCCAGCAGAGGAGGAGCAGTCTGCACAGGCAGAGCCTCTCGGCAGCCCACGCGGCCTTCCCGGGGCGGCGCTGGGCTCTCCCCCTCCCCGGCCCGCGGCGCCGCGGGCCGCGCGGGGAGGTGCCGCCGGGGAGGGCCAGCGAAAGTCCCGGAAGTCCGGGCGGACATCCGAAAGCTTGTGCTCATACAGCTGCGTCTCGAGCCTCCCGTCTGCAGCAGAAACCACTGCACGAAGTGCACCACCGCGTTCTCGGGCACGGCGAGCGCGCGGTGCAGCACGTGTTTGCCGCTGTACGAGGCCGCCTCCGTGTCTGCGCCGACCGCGACCAGCCGCCTGATCAGGTCAGTGTTGGCCCCCGCCAGCGCCAGCTCTAGGAGGCTCGACGCCGTGGGATGGAACTTCGCCGCGGCCTAATGTCGGCGGTGGACGAAGCTCTCTTTAGCAAACATCCCCTTAGTCAAAACGGCCTGGGACCGAAACCGACGGACCTGGCCCCGCAAAAATGACGGCCGCGACGCCCTCTCGCGAAGCGAAAACGGCCAATTCCTCAATCGACGCGTCAGGGTGGGAGGTCTATCCACCCCCGATAATGAGCAAGGAAGAACGACCCCACCACCACCACCGACTCGAGGAGCCAGGGAGGCTCCTCCTGGTGGTGTGGTGCCCCCCCCCCCCTCGCTCGAGGCACCTTCGCCCCCCAGCTCGGGGAGGCATCGTGGGCCCTCTCGCCAGGAAAGGCCTCCCTGGAAGTGGTGGTCTTGAATCGGGCGTGTCCCCCTACAGGGCGATTTTCGGCGAAACAAAAAATACTCCAAAAATAACCGAAAGATCCCCTAAGATACTCAAAAAATAGTCCCCAGACTATTTTCTGACTATTCTTGAATATTTCCCCTGCAGAGGGACAGGCCCGACTTAATGGTGGTGTCGCCTTTTCCCTCCTCCGGAGCCTGGGGCCATGGGCCGCGCTCCACGAAATCCATCGCCGCATCCTGGTCGCCGCGAGTGGCGAAGACGTAGGCCACCTCGTGCGCCGGCAGCCTCGAGTTCACGTCGAGGCCATGTCGCCGCACCAGGCACTCCACGAGGGGTCCCAGCGCGTGGGGCGTGGCATCCCGGCGCACGCCCTGGTCGCCCGGCATCGAGAGGTTCGAGCGCACAAACCGGCCGAGGAAGGCGAGCAGCGGCAGCTGCGGGCTCCCACTGCGAGGCTCGGGCACGCGGAGCGGCAGCCGGCCCCGCATCTCCTTCTGCTGGCAAATGCGGTGGGCCAGCTCCAAGTCCTCGGTCTGCAGTGCCTGGACGAACTCGCCTTGCAGATTGCGCAGAGCGGAATCGTCGGCGCACGTGCCGTCGCTGGACGAGCACGCGCCGTCCTCCTCCTTCGCGCACAGCGCGATGCGGGACCCCATGGGGAAGAGGGCAAGCGCGAGCAGGCTTCGCATCTTAGGCGACGGCAAGTCTGGTACCGCCGTGGGCCGAGAACATCGAGTGCGCCGGCTTCTCTGGGCGTGCGCTCCCCCCCTTTTATAAAAACCTCAAACAGCAGGAGGGGGGATGGGAAGAGTGAGGGCGAGGCCTCCAGGCCTCCTCCTCTTCCTCTCCATGGGATGCTAGAGAAGGAGGAGGAGGAGGAGGAGGAGGAGGAGGAGGAGGAGGAGGCGGAGGAACGGGAGGAGGAGGAGGGGGAAGGGGAGGAGGGAAAGGAGGAGGAGGAGGAGGAGAAGGAGGAGGAGGAGGAGGAAGAGGAAGAGGAGGAGGAGGAGGAGAGGAGGAGGAGGAGGAGGAGGAGGAGGGAGAAGGGGGAGGAGGGAGGAAGGAGGAGGAGGAGGAGGAGGAGGAGGAAGGAGGAGGAGGAGGAGGAGGAGGAGGAGGAGGAGGGACCATCACAGGCTAATGAGGAGGGCTAAGGTTAGGCCGACCCGACCCTAACCGAAACCTTAAGGTTACATCCGCTCACCACTTACGCTCACATGTATCCTGCCTCGCCGCTCCCTCCTTAGGAGCTGGGCAGCAGGAAAGGGCAGGGCAAGTCGGGGGCGGGCCTTCATACTGCTCTTGGGATGTCGGCCGCCTGACAGAAGAGACCACGCACCTTGGGAGAACTTGCTTCGGAAGCGCTCCTTACATTCACCTTTGAGCCCTTTGAGGTTGCTTTCCGTATATCGGCCGCACCTCCTGCACACTACAATGAAGGACTCAATATCAAGGTAATCACATATCATAAGTTGGTGCTTCTGGGGGTCTCTAATTAATTGTGAGAGTGTCGCCGAGTTGCCTGGGCACGGCTCCGCCGTGCGGGCTTTCTTGGTGGCGTCGGATCTAGCTCTAGTATGGCATAGCAGGCACAGCCAGTGACCGTTCAACCAGCCCCAAGTGTGCCTACTGGCATTGTCGCGTGCACTCGCACGCCTGGGACCCGCAGCAGGGGGTGGGGGGGTAAGCCACTCATGGACCGCACCCGCTGCCCCCACAGGGGGATTGAGGCTCTTGGCTGGGGTGGCAGAGGCTTTCTTCCCAGTCTTCGGCGCCAGCGGCGCCCAAAGTGAAAGGGCCTCACCAACAAATCGCACGAACCTCTGCACCCTGCTGCGAGTCTCTTTATAAAAATCAATCTCCAAAGTCGACGGGGCTGGGAACAAGGCAGCAGCTTTTTTGGCCACCTTGTCCGCCCAGTCGTTTCCTTTTGCTAGAAACCAGTCCCTCGAGCCAGCCTCCAGGGACTCAAGATCCTGGTGGGCCTTCACTTTCGCAATCTCGAGGGACCCGAAGCTGGCCTGGGACCTGGCCAAAACAGAAACTCCCGAGTACATTTCTTTCCTACTAACCTCAGGGCTCTGGTGGACCGAGAGGATACCTTTGAAATCGGTCCACGCCTTCGTGACTCTGGGACACGAGGCGGCAGCTAGAAAACCTAAGTGTTCGGCAGCAGGCGACGTCGGGGGCAGGCTGGCCCCCACAGGCCCCGAGAGGGAGGCAACTAGGTCGCCCTCCTCGTCGATTTTAACCACGGACCAGGCAGGGTCTTCATAAACCGCGGGCCCAGGTTTTAAAACGCTGCCATCGTGAAACACTTCTCCATTCATGGCCACCTCCTTGGGTAGCCCATCACGAGACCAATACACCGCTTGGTCCAATCCTAAACCAGGGGGCCTCAGAGCAATCGGTTCTGGTCGAGGAGGAGGAGGAGGGAGGAGGGGGAGGAGGACGAGGAGGAAGAGGAGGAGGAGGAGGAGGAGGAGGAGGAGGGAGGAGGGGAAGAGGAGGAGGAGGAGGAGGAGGAGGAGGAGGAGGAGAGGAGAAGGAGGAGGAGGGAGGAGTGGGAGGAGGAGGAGTAGGAGGATAAGGAGGAGGAGGAGGAGGAGGAGGAGGAGGAGGAGCAGAGAAGGAGAAGGAGGAGGAGGAGGGGAGGAGGAAGAGGAGGAGAAGAGGAGGAGGAGGAGGAGGAGGAGGAGGAGGAGGAGGAGGGGAGGAGCAGGAGGAGGAGGAGGAGGGGGAGGGGAGGGAGAGGAGGAGAAGGAGGAGGAGGAGGAGGAGGAGCGGGAGAAGGAGGGGAGGAGGAGGAGGAGAGGAGGAGGAGGAGGATGAGGAGGGAAGAGTGAGGGCGAGGCCTCGAGGCCTCCTCCTCCTCTCCATGGGATGCAAGAGAAGGAGGAGGAGGAGGATAAGAATTCTCCCGCTCGCGCGCAAGCGAGCTGTCTCCGTGCGGGGCCGCGGCGCCGCGCGCGCGGAACGGCCCAAAAAGGGCAGGCCCGCCCCGCGCGCCCGAGCCGGGGCGCCGCCTCAGGCGGTGGAGTCCGCCTGGTCGCCGTAAACGGCGATGCAGCGCCACATCAGCCAAGATGAGGGAGAGGAGGGAGGGGGGCTGAGAAGCTGCAGAGACAGCAAGAGCGCGGGTCGCAAGGAGAATAGAGAGGAGCATTCTCCCGCTCGCGCGCAAGCGAGCTGTCTCCGTGCGGGGCCGCGGCGCCGCGCGCGCGGAACGGCCCAAAATGGGCAGGCCCGCCCCGCGCGCCCGAGCCGGGGCGCCGCCTCAGGCGGTGGAGTCCGCCTGGTCGCCGTAAACGGCGATGCAGCCATACCCATGCTCAAAGCCCTTGCGCAGTGACAAGGTTTCGGCGGGCGGCCGATAGACGGGTGGTCCATACAGCAGGGCCGACCCCTAGAAGGGAAGCGACAAGGACGTCGCGGGCGGGCAGCGACAGAGGTCGCAACTGACAGTACGACAGGCGACCTGAGCACAAAGGGGGCTCAGGGAGAGCGGACAGCTCGTAGGGGGGCGAGAAGGCCGTTTAGACGATCAGCACGCCAATAGCCGAAAGCAAATAGTTTCACCGAGTACGGAAGCCGCAACGCGCGCAGGGCGGGAGCGGATCGGTGAAGTCCAAATGCTTACCCCCCTGCTCTGGCCGACGCAGCGTCGTCGGCTGAACAATCTGGCCGCTACTTAAGCCAGTGTCGTGAAACGTGGCTCCCCTGCTGAAGCGCCAGAAGGATGCACTCGAGGACCAGATTCAGGGTCGTCTGGGGAGCCTCGGCGCACGCTCCCATGACGTCCCCTGCGGCCACCTTGGCGAAGCTTGCGCCTTGCCGAAGCGCCAAAATGAGGCGCTCGAGGGCCCGATTCAGGGTCGTCTGGGGAGCCTCGGCGCACGCTCCCATGACGTCCCCTGCGGCCACTTCGGCGGAGCTTGCGCCCTGCTCGAGCGCCATAAGGAGGCACTCGAGGGCCAGATGCAGGGTCCTCTGGGGAGCCTCGGCGCAAGCTCCCCTGACGTCACCTGCGGCCACCTCGGCGGAGCCTGCGCCCTCATCGAGACTGGCCAACCCCAGGGGCGGCAGGATGCTCGGGGAGAGAGCAGCGGGCGGCTGCGTCGAGGCGCCACTGCCCCGCCTGTTCCCCCAAGCCGCTACTAGGGCGGAGGCAGGAACCAGAGCGCAGGTCTGGACGCGTTGAGGGGGCCCAGGGGCCCTGGCCAAGATGGCCTCGACGGTCGGCGCCTGCAGGCCCAGGCGCGCCGCTTCGTCGGCGGACAGGTGAGGGAAGTTCAGACGCGGAACGCGGGAATCCGAGATAGGGGACAGTGGGGCCGCACTCCCCTGAGTCAGAGTGGGCAAGGGCTGCTCGACGGCCTCGGAAGCCGTGCGCCGCGCTGCGAAGGCTGCAGCCGCGGCGCTCCCGGGGTCGCCGCTGTGGGTGCCGCTGGGATGCAGCTCGCGCCCCGAGCCCCGGCCAGGCGCGAGGCCGCTCGAAGACCCCCGTTCCTCGGCGGCACGCCCTCCGCCCTGCGGGGCCGCAGCAGCATCGCTGGAGGAGCGCGTGCCCACCGAGGACGGGGGGGCCTGAGCAGCGGGGCCCGCGCGGTAGCTGCCTGCGTGGGCGCCGCCCGAGCTCGCACCCTGGCGGGGCGCGGCCTGCCGAGGCGCCGTAGCTGGGCTCGGGCGCCGCTTCGGAGCGACCCGAGGGGCGCGCGCCTCGCGACGCCGAGGCGACGTCACCTGTCGCGAGGGCGCGCGGGGGGAGCCGCGGGCGTCCCTGGAGCGCGACGCCTCTCGCCTGTCTGAAGGGCGAGGGGGCGGAGGCGGCGGCGGGAGCAAGGGCCGCGGAGGCTCGGAGCCTACGCGCGGACCGCGGCCCCGAGAGCGGCTGCGAGCCGAGGCGCGAGCGGCGGGCGGGGAGCCCCCCGAGCGGCGAGGAGGGTGCCCCCTGTTACCGCGCTGCTGCCTGCCCCCGTGGCTGCGGGGAGAACCCCTCCTGCTGCCGGAGCGCTCATGAGAGCGGGAGCGCTCGTCGCGGGGCCCTCGTTCAGCCGAGCCACCAGGGAAAACCGTCTGCAGGCGGCGGAGGACCTCGGGGTTCATGCCCGCCACGACGCGCTCAAGGTCCATCGAAGAGTCCGCGAGGGCGCTCAGAGAGGCGAGCGCGCCCTCTTGCAGAAGGGCGTCGTCGGAGTCGAACGCCTCGTCCTCGTCGCACGCGGGCTCCGCTCTCGAACGGCTGCGAACGCTCGCGGGCGGTGACCCGTCGGGCGAGCGCGGGGGGCACCTCGGGGCTCTGGCGTGGGGGCCCTCCGGTGCCACTCCCGCAGGCGGCTCCGACGGCTCCTCGGGCGAGAGCGGGCCGTCGACGGGAGGCGAAGAGCCGCCCCCCGAGGGAGAGGTGTGGCCCCTCCCGTACGGGTTTGGAGACCGCGTACGGCCGCGGGCAGCGCTGGGGCTCCGCTGTGGGGAGCCCACTCCCGCGGCGGAGCTGGGGCGTGCCACGCCTGCCCAGCGGCGCGCATTGGCTGTGCGACGCGCCCTGCGGCCAGGCGCCGTGGCGGCTCCCCCCTCAGGGGCGGGGAGCGCCGCCATCGAAGCCCGCCGTTGCCTGGCGGCGCGCCTGGTGCGCGCGGCGCCCGTGCGCGAGGCGGAGTGCGGCGCGTGACCACCGCGGTTGGGCTGG